TTGTGTCCATTTTTTAATTGGGTTATTTGTCTTTTTTCTTGTACAGGTGTTGTATTTTAGAGATTTGTTCCTTGCCTGATGTTTAGTTGCAAAATAGTTTTTCTCATTCTGTGAGGTCCCTTTTTACTCTTTTTGTGAAGTCTTTTGATGCACATAAGTTTTTAATATTTAGTATGTCCCAATCATCTATTTTGTCTTGTTTTGTGTGTGCAATTTTCACAATGATTGATAGTCTGTTTGTACTCTGTATTAGAACCCTCAAATTTGTCCCTATTTTTTCATTGATGGCTTTTATTATTCAGGGATTCACATTTAGGTCTTTAATCCATGCTGAGTTGGTTTTGCGTATGGCATGAAGTAAAGGTCTTGTTTCAATCTTTTGCATATCGCTTTCCAGTTTTGCCAGTACCATCTATTGAAGAGACTATCTCCTCCCCATGCAATGTACTTAGTTAGGTCCTTTGTCGAAAATCAGTTGGCTGTATGTAGATGGGTTAATTTCTGGATTCTCAAGTCTTTTCTGTTGATCTATATCTCTTTCATTAAATTAATACCAAGCTGCTTTGACCACTGTAACCATGTAGTAAATTTTGAAATAAGGGAGTGACAGGTTTCCAACCTTATTCTTCTTCTTAAGCAGTGCTTTACTTATCCTGGGTCTCATTCCTTCCCATATAAAGTTTGTAAATGTTTTTCCATCTCCTTGAAGAATGTCATTGGAATCTGGATTGGGATTGCATTATATGTGTAGATTGATTTGGGCAGTATTGACATTTTCACAATGTTAAGTCTTTCTATCCAGGAGCATAGTATATTCTTCCATTTCTGTAAGTCTCTTTTGGATTCTTGTAGCAATTTTTTCTAGTTTTCTTTGTATAGGTCCTTTGTTTCTCTGGTTACATTTATTCCTAGATATTTCATCCTTTGGGTGACTATTATAAATGGTATTGCTTTCCTAATGTGCTTTTCAGCACTGTCATTGTTAGTATAGAAGAATCCAACTGATTTTTTTTTCAAGTTTTGAAACCCCCTTTTATGTATATTCTCATTTTTACATTACATTCAAAATATCATGGTGACTAAAACAATTAGCAGTTCTTACTTATAGAAGTTTATAAACATTTGTTGTTGCTGCTGTTAGATGCCATCAAGTCGGCTCAGACTCATAGTGACCCTGTGCACAACAGAGTGAAACACAACCCTGTCCTGCACCATTCAGTAATTGCTATACTTGAGTCCATTGCTGCTACCACTGTACCATTCCATCTTGTTGGAGATCTCTATTTTCTGCTGTCCCTCCTCTTTACCATGCATGATATCCTTCTCCAGGGACTGGTCCCTCCTGATAACATGTCTGAAGTATGAGAGATGAAGTCTGACAATCTTGGCTTTTAGGAGCATTCTTGTTATACTTCTTCCAACACAGATTTGGTTGTTCTTCTGGCAGTCCATGGTACTTATAATATTCGTTTCAAACACCATAACTCAAATGCATCAATTATTCTAAAGTCTTCCTTATTAATTGTCCAACTTTTACATGCATATGAGGCTATTGAAAATACCATGACTCAGAGATGGGGGCATGGAGAGGGGGAGTGGCTGAGG